GTCGTCGACTGTGGGGGTTTGTGCTGCCAGGGACCAGTCGACTCGTGAGAGGAAATCTTTGATCGCGTCATAGTCCGCTCGACGAAAGTTAAGCCTGATGGGCAGTGCTTTAGCGTTGAGCGTGACGTTCGCCACCACACGAAAACTGATAACTGCATGATCACTTGCACCAACTGGGGCGCTCAAATTAACGTTGTCAATTAGATGTGGCTCGTTGGTGAGCAGCAAGTCGAGTTTCGACGGGTTTTGACCGTCTCGCCACCGAGTGTACTGCTGTGCGTGTTCGGTTAGGCCATGTTCTAGAACACTGGCAAGAAACTCAAGGCTGTGCTGACTGCGAGCTTGGCCAGAGGTGAAGTCTATCTCCGGGAAATTAAAGTCACCTGCGACGAGTAGGGGGGCACCCAAATCTGAAGCGGCTGCTCGGAGGGCGGCGTTCCAGCACTGCAGCCATTCTGGCGCAGCTGAGGGAGGGCGATAAACCACTCCAAGGGTGAGACTGGTGGAACCAGAGCCGCGGACGCGAATCCAGAGGGATTCGGGAAGAGATAGTAGTTCCGGAGATTTGAGAGGGACGCATGCGAGGCGGTCTGATACATACACAGCTACGCCTCCGCCTTTGCCGCTTTCACGATCGTTTTGAAAGAGCACGTATCCCGGGAAAGCTACCTCGGCGTCCACAACGTCTGGGCAGAACCAGGTTTCGGTTATACATATAACTTTAGCTTGCGTGTCCAGTGCAAGGGAAGAGATTTCGGACACCTTGTTCCGTAGCGATAAAGCGTTGGTGTACAAGCAGTTCCACGTGCTAACATGAACTGCTGGCGGGCAGTGGCTTGAAGGCATAGATGGTAGGGTAGTTCCAGTGTGGTTTGCGCCGACCCCACAGGGGCCGGCGCCTACTCGTTTTTTGGTATATCCACAAGTCGCGTAATAGGTAGTGATGGCGTAGCTCGGCTGAATGGCGTGGAATTACGTCCCTGAATTTGCCTGCGCTCCTCCCGCGGTTTGTCTGGATGCATCCTGACTTCGTACGGGAGGTTTCCACGTAGCTCGTACCACCGTTGTAGTACAGTCTGGCGCATCTCAGGAGTGAAAAGAATGACTCTGAGCAGTTTAGGCGCCTGTATCTGCGAGAGGTGAGCTGGCCTCGGCAGCCGGTGAACAGACCACGCCCCACAGTTGTCCACTGATAGGTTGAGCTGCGACCGAATATAGCACCACTGCTGAACATCGTGGCGGGATGATTCAACCGGGTCGGCAGTGTGGAGTTTTGGGACTCCGTGTATAATTATACTGCAAGCTCTATCGTGGTTGGCGCACGTGCTGTTGATACGCGCCTCTCTTCTTGCCTCCCTCACAACCCAGGGAAAGTCTGGCTGGGCGCGGATCTTTGTGTTCAGTTTATTCAAGCAAGCCGATGCCAAGAGCATTTCCTCGACGTCATCAGCACTTTCCAGAGTGACGCGTAACGGCCTTGGGCGTTTGTCACCTGGTGAGCGGGGTGCGCGTAGACGGCAGAGAGAGGGCGAGGAGGTAGGCGGCAGTCCAAGGAGTTGCCGCAAGGATTGCCATTGGGATAGATCGGCACTGGCTCTGTGGGATAGTGACGGGTGGTCGCTCTCGTCCACATTGAACAGTATCAAAGTCTTGCGGTTGAATTCTGGCAAGCCACTGCTCCGAGGCGTATTGGTGCCTTGGCTGCATTGTGAGGGCCTCGGCTGTGTAACATGTGTGAACTGGGGACCTGGGTTCTCCTGCGATTGCATGGCGCACTTCAGGTCTTGATGACAGCGATCCGATCAGGACCGGTCAGGACCGTCCACCAAGGAAATCTGTCTTGATGATAGCGATCAAAGAATAGATGGAACGAAGTAAAGATTTCACACTCAGTCTCTTTAGAATACGCTTGGATGCCGAATTTGAAGGCGAAAACTTTCAGATGGAGATTTTTCAAAATTTCAAACCGCGCGATTAATCGCTAAAATAGGGAATTTCCAAGGCAATTCTTACTTTCTCCCGGACAGATCGATCGATTCTGTTCGAAATACTTGCGCGGAAAGGTGTTCCCACGAAATATGTGAACATCCTTCGTTCTCTATACTCGAACACTACAGGCTGCGTCAGGGTCTATGGTGTCCTATCGGATAGCTTTCCGACCACAAGTGGCGTTCGTCAGGGATGTGCGATTTCCCCATTTTTCTAACATTTCGTCGTGGATTCTATCATGGAGTGTTCCCTTGCAGAATCTCACGATGTAGGTGTTGAAGTGCTTCCTGGTGAAAGGTTAGTTGATCTAGATTATGCGGACGATATCGTGTTGCTTTTCGACGATGTTGGGGCGGCACAATCAATCCTGAATAGCCTGTCCAGAGTGGTCCCATTATTTGGTATGGGGTTCGCACCTTCAAACTGCAAAGTGTTTCTGCAGGACCACCAGCCACTTGATGACCTCTTAACGCTTGCTAACGAAATACTCGAGGTTGTTGATCATTTCGCTTATCTTGGCAACTGCATCAGCAGTGATGGGCGCATAGAAACTGACGTCAGCTCACGCATTGCGAAGGCCAGAGCTACCTTCTTGAACCTGCGGCATCTTTGGCGACAGAAGGGAATTTCCATCCGTCTGAAAGGCCGGGTATACAAGGCCACAGTGAGGGCCGTTCTGCTGTATGGTAATGAGACTTGGTTCCTTCGGTCTGAAGATCTGAGGCGCCTTCAAGTCTTTGATCATCGTTGTCTGCGAAGCATTGCTGGTGTCGGATGGCACCAACGTGTCCGCAACGATGATGTTGGTAGGCGAGTACTAGGTGGTAATAATCATGCTAGTTCCCTAGAACAACAGATGGTACTGAATAAGTTGCGTTGGCTCGGGCACGTGCTACGTATGCCTGGTTACCGCTTACCTAGGAGGGCCTTGTTTATTCTGCCATGTGTAGGGTGGCGCAGGGCTCGAGGTGGACATAAGTTGACTTGGCAGCGGGAAATGAAGTCACTGACGACCAAACTGGGTGCGGTTGGTCCGTCTCGCCTTCCGGGCTGGAGTCCACGTGACTCGCCTTGTGCTTGGCTCGAGACTTTGCAGGACATGGCTCGCCGTCAGCACTAGTGGCGCGTCTGCTGCCGTCTCCTAATCGGATTGCCTGTTTAAAGTGTGTTTGGTGTTGTGTTATCTGCGGGGTAATGGCTGATTATGACGCGTGGCAGTGAAAGCCGCAAGGAAGCTGATTGGCTGATGCCGCCTTATCTTTGCTGATGGTCAGCTGTTTGTGACTGTATGTTGTTGACACAAGGTGTAGACGCCTTGACCCTGAATATTTGCTTAGGGCATTAAGGTTTTCAGGTAAGTCTCCTTTCTCTCCCTCTTCTAATTCTTTATTTCATCGGTCGTCATGGTTGTATGGCAGCGAAGCGTCAGTTCAAATGACTGATGTACTGCTGTTGATGATGATGATGATGATGATAGACTATTACCCAAGCGTCGAGTAGACGATTCCGCATTTCGGACCGATTGCACAACGGCGGCACGGAACCTAGTCGCCGTGTAGACGGAAATTGCCAATTGAGTAACGCATGTAGTGTGAGACAAACGTGAGGATCCTCAGCAGTACGCCGACACACTATGCTGACGCTTCACTGCCACGCGACCACGACCGGTCGCGCATGGGCTGTGTGCCTTAAGGACGCCCGCCCCTACGCGGATTCAAACCAAGGATTGCAAGCCAGGCGTGTCTTCCTTTTAGTCACCGTCCGACGAACGTGACCGCCACAACCGCACCCTGGATCACAGCGAAGAGAGATAAGAAAACGAACCTTTCGCTTCTACTGACTCCGCAAGGAAGCATTACAGGCCGAGCCATTGTTGGATACATCCGGTTTCTGGCTTGCCTGTCACTGCGGCCTCAACAGGAAAACCACAGGACGCTTGCGCTCACTGAGAGATAACGGGTGGCTTTCGCTGCACCACTCACAGCTCCATTCAAACACCACATAATCAGTGTAAACCCGAAGGAATAAGACCGGGAAGCATGTGGATGGGGGGCCACGTTCCACATCGGAGTCGACCCACACTCCTTCAACGTGCACAGTAGCATCATTCATGTCTACTTGGGGAGTCATGCGCACCGGACGTACACAAGGCGGTGGTTGGGCCGTAGTCCGCTTCACGCCGGAGGAAACCACTCTTTGAGCCCAGCACGCCCACGAGGGCTATGAAACCCGTCCCGTCCAGCAACGACCAACTGTCTCCTGGAGCCAGTATAGACGGGATTGTGGGTACTAGACAGATAAGCAGCTTGTCAGCATTCACATCAAACGCAGTCACACAGGGGATATCAAACAACCAGCACAAAATATGAACGAAACGAATCATGCAAACTGAGCAGCAATGTGCGGCAAAATGACATGAAAGTGTAACTCAAAATAATGTAAATGAATTTTGATCTAGTGTAAGGGTGATCTTGGGCAACTGCAAGAGTAAGTCGGGAGATATCAACCGATTAACTCTGGTAATGAAAACTTGCGGGCAAAGTAACCAGAGAATATGCGGAGGATTAGCAGAACTGGGCAGATAAAATGACATGTTTAGTTAGATCTAGTGTAATGCGAAACATGCGTGCGCGTAAGTTATTCTAACCCAACTGCAGTATTGAAGTATAATATATGCAACGTCAACCTCAGCATGGGGCACAATCCGAGACACCCTCTTAGTTATAGCACAAATGACCTACTACGCCGGGTGTGAGTTTTAACCATACGGGTTTGTTCCCGAAACCATGCTGCGTCGTGAATTGGAAGTCGCTTGGTCACGCTACGAGAGACACGCGGCGTAACTTTTCGGTGTCGCAAACGGGTATCGCAGTCCACGCCGCGGGTCCATATCTTTGCAGAATCATTTAACGTTTCCTCAATGGTGTTATACATTCAGTTTTGTCATTCTTTGTTCTTGTTTCCTCTGGCTTTTAGACGATCTTCCATCTTTTTCCAGTGGGTTGTCCTTCATGACAGCCACCTCAAATCAGTATGGTATCAGCTCTGGCCTAAATTTGCACAATGATTCCCGAAAACTCTTCCGTGAATATTACCTCACTTGGGGTGGCGAGGAGTCGTTGAGTTCGGATACCGAGGAGCAATTACCTGACTTCTTTCATCGCGTAAGTTTTATTACTCACCCTCACTATTTATCAGGTACCACAAGATCACGAAGTATTGCCGCAAAAATTGCGCGAAGAAGCTAGGTAGTCTTGTTTCTGTCGTGTATTCGGAACCAGCTGCTTTTCTGTCTTTTCAGAGCCTCCTTGTTAGAATCGAAGAGCCACGATGTGCTAGAAAGTGAGGAACTACAGGTATACTTGTGTCCCTTCCGCTTTACTCGATTATAGGCACTTTGGTTTCTGTTGGATAAGTACCAGTCTCCCCCGGATATTAACGGTGAAAAGTTTATCAGCTATGAAAACTTTCGGAAAGCCGCTAGCGAAGCCGATCCTAAAGCTAGGTGAGCGTTATGTACATGGTACAGTGCCGTATTACGTGACCCCTGCCTAAAAATTCGGCACGTCTTTATTAGTCTCATTGTTGTGTCTATTCACGCCAGTTTGTTTTCCTTCTGTCCTGTCCACACACCTGACTGCTCAAACGCTGCATACTTCACATTTTCACTGCTGGATTCTACGCTTGTCCAACGTCTCGTCAGCTATCTAGCCGGTCTGTGACAGCCAGTTACCATTACCACCGTCGTCTCTCTCAGTCACTAATGAGTCTCCCGGCCAAAAACCATTTATTCTAGTCTGACGTCGCTTACGGGCCCCGCGTTGGCCGTTAAACCGAGTGCCTAACGCGTAGGCCAAAGCATACGGGTCTACCAACTACAAACGCGTGAACTACTTGGATCCTAAATGAATCAATGTTAGTTCGCCTTAGGCTGTAGCAGTGTAGCAGCGGTTGTCTTTACACATTTAGCACCTGATCTACCAATTGGCGACACGTGGGGCACAACTGCGACACCTGACGGGAGCTGATGTTGGGCAGTATGATAAAGACCTCTTTATAGACTGGAGAATGAGCAATTTTATGTGAAAGGCTGCTTTTATCTAAAACTTTTATTTCATTAAGCACCACTCTCAACGAAAGTTCGGCCGAATGGTCGTCAAAAGAGCTTATTTGATCTCCACAAGGCAACTACTTCTACTCGCTACACGATGTTAGAATTATGGCATAAAGTGGAATGAGTCCTTTACTCGACGGACGGAATGCTTTGCTACAATTGCCTCTAAACAATCAGTTTATATACTGTTAGCATAGACGGTACTAATAATGTCACCTAACTTGGTAGCGAAACATCATGTGCACGCTGATAAATTCAACACCTCAGCTAACTTTGGGATTTTAATGAGCTATGACGAAGGCCACTCGGGCTCCGACTGACTCATAATAGCATAGCTGGAAATGAGCTTACCGTCGGACCAAAGGCATAGGGTATTGCCCAGTGCTTGTCGCTTACTGGCCCTGCAATCTTCTTGACAAGTATCGCTTTGTGAACTCTTATATTCTAGAGTTTTGCCACCTTATATGTTTGGACTCCGATGTACAGTCTCATTTCGCATTGCGATTTATTTTGGACCTAGATCGACTTGGTCACCGGCTCCTTTTTCAAATTAGGGAAATTTCCTGATATTCCCCACCGCCAACACTGCACTCCATGATATCTTTCGTCATCGTTTCGTCTCCGCAGAAGAGGCCTGGATACTGCCAAACTAGGAAAACGCTTTCGTAGTCACTCGGAAAAGCATTACTCACGGAGCTCTAGTGGCTTAGGGGTTAATATGTCTTTCGGCGGCCACAACGCCTCTATTTTGACCCACATCACTGGCTAAGGACTTCACACAGAACGGAACCTGGCCGTGAAGCTCAGTGCCGAGGCTGATCAACAGCAAAAGTGTCTCCGCCACATTAACTGTCGTGCACGTTTTTTGCTTTGCTGCCGTTGCAGACATTCCACCACCAATCGTGCTGATTTCTTCAGTGCGTAGTAAGCAAACTGAGTGGTTTGTCGATTTTTGACCGAGGAGCGAGTGACGTTTGAAAGTGACCAGTTCGATTCACCTCCCGTGACCATTGCTAGTTCGCAGTTCAGGCGCCGCCTCTTTTCGACTCATTTGCTGAATGACCGACGTAAGTTCTTTTTTCAGGGCTGATGGTATACTGGATCTAAGTCGATGCGCAGCTTTGTTGAATTTTCCGTAGTGAACCACAATTCGAGAAATTCTCTTCCTTTGCTGGTCTCTCCCCACGCTAGCACCTCCGTGTTCTCCCAATCAAACATATGCTCTTCTTCTGCATACGGACCTTGTTTCGCAGGATAGAGTCACACTGTAATACTGCGAAAGAAAAACGCGAAGAAGAAAACATCTGGTTACATCCTTCATGCGTACCGGATATCCACGCAGTTTCATCCGAAGATGCATAAACTACAGGAGTACAAATACCATACCTGAACCAACACCAAAGAAACGGATCGCTTTGCCGTACATCAAAACCTATCGGAACTGACTGCTACACTCCTCAAGCCTCACCATCTGTTAGTAGCTCATATACCAACCGCCAATCTGAAAGGAACCCTGTCTAGATCGAAAGGGAAAACAAGAGCGCACGAACGCCGGAACGTTATTTACAAGATACAGTGTAAAAATGGTGCTAAGAACTATGTGGGCCAAATGGGGTGTCTACAAGGTTACAAGAACACAACCGAGCCTGTTGAGACCATTACCGATCAACATTGGTCTCGACACACGTTGATGAAGAAGAGCATATGTTCAGGTCTAGTCAGTGTATCATACACTGGTAGTTAGGTGCCCGCCACTAGTCAGAAAAATCTTGCTGTGGCGTAGTTAGGATTCGCCTAAACCGAGTAGTGCAGTAGGTACAATGTTAGCCTTCTGGAATAATGTTGGTTGGTCTGTTTAGTTCCGGGAAACGGATTACTTTCTTTCGAACTGTGTTTTTCATTTCATCTGAGATCTTTCTGTTTTAGTGGTTGGTATACTGGATAAAATAGGGTGATGAACTGCAGAAGTTTATATAAAGAACAGAGTAGCACCAGGCACCATCCAACCTCGGATTTGCCTTCTACCGATATCTGCTACGAAACCGTTATCCCCTCCTACGCTGATGATGTCATCACAACTAGTAACGAAACGTTTAAAATCAAATTGCCCAACTTAGGCAGCAAAGCAAAAACGTGCACGGCAGTTAATGTGGCGGAGACATTTTTGCTGTTGCTCAGCCTCGGCACTGAGCTTCATGGCCAAATTCCGTCCTGTGTGAAATCCTTAGCCAGTGATGTGGGTCAAAATAGAGGCGTCGTGGCCGCCGAAAGACATATTAACCCCTAAGCCACTAGAGCTCCGTGAATAATGCTTTTCCGAGTTTCTTCAGTTTCTTCAGAAGAGAGAGAAAATGGTGGGCATTGCAATGGATGAATCCAAGAAGACATTGAGTTGAATTGGGTATAAGCATCAATCGTGGAATCCGCCAAATGAAACGAATAGACAGTCGAGCGTCGCTTGATATGTCCATGTCCACATACAACCATGACATTTTCTTCAAACATAAACTTCATCCTGCATCGGCCGTCGCGCAGATTATCAAGGGTCGCCTTATCTGCTGCATACAGCAGGGCGGATAAGCGAAAGCATGCTACTGCTGGCGCCTCCCTTCTTTCTTTTCCACCTTTTTCTCTTACTCCTATCCCGGCCCCCATTACTAACCTTCCTTCTATAATTCCCAGCTTAATTGACAGCAACCGAAGTGCTACTGGAGTAGAACCATCTGCAGCCACCATCCCACAGCACCTATCGGACGCCTATCGGCAAAAGTCCCTTATAAGACCACGCTGTCCCGTTTCCATGGCGACCTTCAACGTCCGCACTCTAAGACAAACAGGTCAGCAGGCTGCACTCGCACGCACCTTGGACACACTGGGTGTTGATGTGTGTTGTGTGTCCGAAACTAGGATTAATGACCCTAACGGGGTGATTGAATTGACTGCACCCGGCTTATCCTCTCGTTATTGGTTGCACGCATCCGGAGACGCCGATGCGGCACTCGCCGCTCAAGCTGGTGTAGGTATCATTCTCAGCTCCAAGGCTGAGTTATCGTTGGTTGATTGGATTCCGGTGAACAGTCGTTTATGTGCAGCCCGTTTGACGACATCAGCTAATGTGAATTCGCGAAGTAAAACAAAACGCTGTTTGTTTGTGATTTCTGCTTATGCTCCCACCGACTGCAGTTCTAATGCAGTCAAGGACACTTTCTATCACGAACTGAACACGCTGCTACGCAGTGCTACTAGTTCAGATATTATAGTACTTGCAGGGGATATGAACGCACAAGTAGGGCGTCTGAGCTCTTCAGAAGCTCAGCTGGGTGGTATGTATGGACTTAACTCCGAACGGACTGACAACGGCGAGCGTCTGCTGCAACTGTGTGCGGAGCACCAGTTGTTTCTTACTAGCACTGCTTTTAGACACAGTGGGCGCCGAAGTGCCACTTGGCGTCCACCTGTAGCTGGTCAGCGATGGACCCAAATTGACCACATAGCCATAAGTTACAGGTGGCGCGGTTCCATTCTGGATTGCCGCTCGTACTGGAGTACCTGTGTCGACTCTGACCATGCCTTGGTGCGCTGTCGTTTCTCCATGAACTTTACCGGAAGGCGCACAAAGCGTCTCCCCCGATTGGCAACGGAGAAATTGTCCCAGCCCTCTGTCAGGCAAGCCTATCAAGAAGCACTGCATAGCGAACTCTCGCTGTCTTGTCCTAATGATACTGAACTTCAGTGGAATAAGATCTCGGCCACTATGCATGACGCAGGAGCATCTGCTTGTGGCACTATCAGTCGTCATCGCACCAGTCACTGGATATCCGAGAGGTCCGTGAACCTTTTGGAAGCTAGAAGACACCTCCCGGCTGGTTCTGAACACAATGTGACCAGACGGGCTATTAGGCGTGAACTAAAGCGGAGCCTACGTGCTGACAAGGAAGCCTGGTGGACCAGTCGGGCTCAAGAAATGGAGGAGGCAGGAGCAGTAGGCAATTACCGGAAGCTCTTCCAGCTAATACGCACCACTGGTCCGAGAAAACCAGGCGTCAGTGAGACAATCAGGGACAGCGCGGGTGCGCTGATACACAATAAGCAGCGCCGTATGGCTCGTTGGGCTGAGCACTTTGAACATCAGTTCAGCTGGCCCCCTGCTCCCGGACCTCTTCCTACTCAGGTGATGCAGGACGAGCCATGGACGGTTAGTTTAGAGCCTCCGTCGGAGGCCGAAGTCCGAAACGCGATCACAGCCCTTAATCGTTTTCGTGCCGCTGGTCCGGATTCCCTACCACCTGCACTATTTAAGGATGGTGGTGAGGTCCTCTGCAAAGCACTGACCTCCCTATTCGAACGTATCTGGAACGAAGAGAGTGTGCCGGCTAATTGGAGCGAATCGATTAT